AAGGAAAATTGAACAAGTAATTAGAGATAGATGAAGTAACTTTCAACAGTATAATAGGAAGAATAGTGTCATTTATGTATTGATTTTTTGAAATGACAATTATTAAGGAACATCTATTTTAGTAATGACGACATGCAAATAGGAACGGAGGGAGTATTTATGTGTTTTTAGACTTCTATTTATAAAAGTTCAAAAAAAAATCAAATTAAATGATGTCCTAATACAATTTTAAATCTGAAATCATAACTTCAAAAACTCAAATATTTAATTTTTAACTTCAAAATATATTGTCAAATTGAAGCTTATACTTTGTGACTGATAATTTCACCTTACTCTTTAATTTTATCGTGATTTTTTTGTTATCACTCGAGTTTGTATATATCATAGTTGTATATTTAGATTCCCTTATTTTATTTGGTAAGTTAAGTTAATCATGTTGAGCAAGGATAGACTGCAAACTTAAAGAACAAAGATGCAAAGTTTAAACATACTAGCTATGTGCTGAAATCTCAATTTTTTCTGTATATTAAATCAAAGAAAATGTTGTCTTTATATAGGTTACAAATAAGCAAACTACTAGGTTACTAAGTTATCACCACTGCCACTAATAAAACAACAACTAACCGATAACAGTAAATAATAAAAGTAATACATCATGACCTACTAACAACCCTAGAATATAGGACACTACTAACAAACTAAATTAACCAGGTCACACACTGAATTAGTCTTCAATACTCTCCCTTGATTCAAAGTTACAGACTCCGGCAAAGCACTCAAATAGATAAAATTGTCTGATGCCAAAGACTTCGTCAGTATATCAGTTAATGTCTCATGAGTGCTGCAATGCTTTAATATAATCTCCTCCTTTGCGACCAACTCATGAATGAAATGGAAGTGAACATCAATGTTCTTGATTCTACTGTGAAAGTTTCGATTCTTTGTCATTGAAATAGATATTTTGTTGTCATAATATATCTCTATTACCCTTTCTTGCTTATGCTGAAGTTCCGCTAACATCCTTCTCAGTCATATGGCTTAGCAAGCAGTTAAAGTAGCTGCAATGTACTCAGCTTCAGAGGTGGAAAAGGTTGTTGTAGTTTGCTTATTGGAACTCCAATTTATTACTCCTGACCAAAGAGTAAAAACATGTGCTCAAATGCTGCGCTTATCCTCCAATGAATCAGCACAGTCACTATCAGTGAATCTACATAATTTGAAATTGGAAACTTGTGAATACCGAATCCTATAGTCCATAGTTACAACGATATAGCATAAAAATCTTTTTGCTGCTCCAAAATGAATCGTAGAAGGTTGTTACATAAACTTGGAAATGACACCAACAGAAAATGCAATATCAAAATGAGTGTGAGTTAGATATATTAAACCTCCAACCAGACTTCTGAAACTTCTAGCGCTATCCATCTTTTCTCCGATCCATCATTAATATGCAATTTTTCACCAACATTTGTAGGTGTAGTTGCAGGCTAACAATTAATGAGAAGGTCCCTGGCATATTTCCTTTGTGAAAGAAATATTCTATATGCAGCCTGATGGACTTCAAGGCCAAGAAAATAATCTAACACACCCATATCCGACATCTCAAACTCACTCATCATTTGAGACTCAAACTTATCCATAATAGAAACAGAAGAGCTAATATAGATAATATCATCAATATATATAAAGGCAAACAATAATGAAATCAATACCTTTCTTCTTTACATACAATGTGGGTTCATTCTCACTTATGATCTTTTCTTCTGAAAATACCCATCAATTTTACTATACCATGCTCAAGGGGCTTGCTTGAAATTATACAATGCCGTTTTATAATTAGCTTGTAGACCTTTGTTTTATTTTCTTTATTTACGAAACCTTCTGATTGCGCTACGTAGGCTTGTTTTTTTAAGTTTCTGTTGAGAAATGACGACTTGACATCAAATTGATAAACTAGCTATTGTGACTGTGCAACTAATGCTAGAACAAGTCTCAGTTTCAAACTAAGCTACCGGAGAAAGGGTTTCTTCAAAATCAATAATATATTGTTGTGCAATCCTTTTTTCCACAAGACGAGCTTTATGCTTCTGAAGGCTCCCATCTGCTGAAAATTTTGTCTTGAATACCCACTTCAAGCCAATTGGATTTTTGCCTTTAGGTAATTTCACCATCTCTTTAGTGTTATTCTTTTAGATAGATTTCATCTCTTCTAATATTGTTGTTCGTCACTCTTCCTCTTCAGCTGCGTGTAGGATCAGAAACAACAAAAGAAAAATGACAAGTTGTATATATGTCATTAGCATACTTAGGGTTCGAGTTTGTCAACCTTCTTGATCTTCTTAATCGAATTGGCTCATCTAGAGACTCTTCAATAGTCATAGATGAAGAGTTCCTACTCGGTGAAGTTGAAGAAGATGAATCTGGAGAAGTTGTTGAAGATTTAGTTGTTGTAGTTGTAAGAGTCGGTTGTTGAATTCCATCAAAAGTGATTCTAATGGGTATAGGAATCTGGTTTTGCATCTTCTCACTACTTCCACTCCATTTTCAGCTTGCCATTTCATCAAATACTACATCCCTTCTAATTAAAATCATGCTACTAAGAGGGTTATACAATCTGTAGGCTTTGAATTGTGTACTATAACCAATAAAAATGCATTTTTCAGATTATTCATCCAACTTATGACGAAATTGAGAATTTATCAAAGCATAAGCAATACAACCAAAAAATCTTAAATAACTTACAAATGGTTTTCTATCCCGCCAAACTTCAAATGGAGTATGATTCATGAAAACCTTTATGATAGATAGATTCAATAAATGGACTGAAGTAGCCGCAACTTCAGCCCAAAAATAATTTGAAAGTCCCTTCGTTTGTAGCATGCTTCTTGCCATATCTACAACGGTGCAATTTTTTTGCTCAGCGGCACCATTTTGCTCAGAAGTGTAAAGTGTTGTCAGCTCCTTGCGGATGCCAATTTCTTCAGAAAAGTGACTAAACTCCTTGGACAAGAATTCTCCGCCTCTATCAGTGCGAAGAGTTTTGATGCATAGACCACTTTTGCTTCTCAATCTTGGCTTTGAAGTACTTAAATTTCTGAAATGTGTTTTATTTGTTTTTCAATAAATAGACCCAACTCCAGCAACTACAATCGTCATTAAAGAGTAGAAAATAACGACTCCCACCAAAAGAAGTAGTATGCATAGGTCCGCATAATCATCATGAATTAATTCAAGACACTTTGAAGCCCTTCAAGCCTTTCCAACATGAAAAGTTTTTCTAGTTTATATTCCATAAATAAACCCTTCACACAATTTAATATAATTAATTTTGATAGTCCAAGAACCATACCTTTGTCAACTAGCAATTTCAGTCCCTTTATGTTGAGATGACCATACCTCAAATGCCACAACTTCAAGTCTTCTTTGCACTTGCAGTAAGAGCAAAAATTTTCATATTAGAAACGTCCAGCGGAAATATATTGTTTGATGTCATGGTGATGTAAACCTTTTTGCCTAACTTCTTGTTTGTAATGACGCAAAAATCGTCATCAAACAAAAGAGAATATTTGTTAGTCATTAGTTGTCCAACACTTAACAAATTGAATCCTAAATCAGATACAAATTAAACACAATTCAACATTTTTACTTTGTCATGGCTAGTGTCGACGACCACCGTGCCTTTTCCTTCAACCTACATCTCTTTTGTGTTGCCAAGTTGCACATTCGTCTTTTGCTTCTCATCAAGATCCCGGACATAGTTTTGGCCTCTGGCATATGATTTAAACAACCACTGTCTACGAATCATATATCACTTGACTTATGGTCTATATCAATGCAGGCCATAAAAAGATGATTCTCTTCCTCATTTTCTTTAGCTGCAAAATTTAATTTTTGGTACCAACAATCAACCTTTATATGCCCATAGCAGTGGCAATGATGAAATTGAACACCATTTTTTATGTTGCCTTGCTCATTGGACTGCATGTGTCCATTATTTCTTCCTCCGCCTCTTCCATAACCATAACCTCGACCACTGCAAAATCCTCCTCTTCCACGACCTCTATTTGCTGGATCATTATTATTTTTCCATATTTAATGGTAGAGTCTTTCACTTGGAATGCCTTCTCTTCATTCTTCTCTATATATTGGTTGATTCTTGCCTTATGAGCTTCAAGAGATCCCATCAGTTCATCAAAGGAAAAAAATGATAGATTCTTAGACTCTTCTATAGCAGATATTACATGATCAAATTTTGGAGTTAAGCTTTGTAGTATCTTTTCGATAATGATCTGGCCAACAGGGGCGGAGCCACGTAGGCTCAAGGGTGTCCAATTGGACACCCTTCGTCGAAAAATTATACTATATATACACGTAAAATTTTGACTTTATATTGGTATATATAGAATTTGGACCCCCTAAAATAACAAACAGATGCGCAGTGGAGTTGGCAATTGCCCGCGCAATCCTACTCTTTGTACCGATTCGATTCCCCGCAGGGTTATTTTCTTTTTCTGTAATTATTTTGACTTCTTGAATTCAAATAAGTAAATAAATATGCGTAATTTTAACATAAAAGTTCAGTAGCTTGGTGGTTGATAGTATCATGAATGGCTCCAGGGGGCAGGGGACCCAAGTTCGAATCCCTCCTCTACTAACTAATTTTTTTCAATTAAAATTGAATTATTTCCTTAAATTTTAATACCTTTTCCTTATGGAATAAGATTTCCTTAAATTTTAATATTTTTCCCTTATGGAACTAGGTTTTCTTTCTCTATAAATAGGAGACTCATTTACCCAAATCATATCACAATATTATTAAGAATAGAATCTCAATAATTCTCTCTCTGTTTTTTCTTCTCGTTCTCTTATTTTATAACAAAAATAACCAACTTAATATTTTAGTTTCAATAGACATGAGGAATTATTATAATAGAGTACCAAAAAAAAGTTCGACTTCTCTAAGTCAACCAAATAAAGAAACAACGGTAGATCAATTAGAGATGTTGTCACATTCTTCTCAAAAACAAAGCATTGATTTAAATACTCTAGAAGTTGATCCAGCAAAAAGAACTTCAATTTTAAATCATGATCCAAATCTTCGTGATGAAATAAGAAGGACATATCTTAAACTTGGTCCTTGTCGACCAAATATTACAGAATACCCTCAATCATATATTGCTAAAGCAATGCGTCGTTTCAACTCTGATTGGTATAAAGCGTATGATTGGTTAGAGTATAGTGAGAGTGCAGATGCAACATATTGTTTACCTTGTTATTTATTTAAAGGCAATAATATTCATCAAGGTGGAGGTGAAGTATTTTCAACAACGGGATTTAACAATTGGCATAAAAAGAGTAAGTTTGACGAACATGTTGGTGGACCGAATAGCGTTCATAATCAAGCAAAGAGAAAATGTGATGATCTAATGCAACAACGACAGTCCATTCGTGCTGCATTTGATAGGCAATCTGATCAGATTAAGCTTGAATATTGGACTCGCTTAAATGCTTCAATTGATGTGATAAGACTTCTCTTGAATCAAGGATTACCACTCCGCGGTCATGATGAAAGTGAATCATCATTGAACAAAGGTAATTTTATTGAAGTTCTTTCCTGGTACAGAGATAGGTGTGAAAACATCAAACCTTTCGTGTTAGAAAATGCTCCAAGAAATAATAAATTGACTTCTCCAGATATTCAAAAAGAACTTGTGACTGCAAGTAAGATAGAAACATTGAAGTCTATAATGGAGGATCTAAATGGTGATTATTTTGCTCTATTAGTTGATGAATCTTTTGATGTGTCACGTAAGGAGTAAATGGCTATTGTTTTACGATATGTTGATAAAAAGGATTTGTAGTGGAAGCATTTATTGGACTTGTTCATGTTAAAGATACCAGTGCTTTATCTCTAAAGAAAACAATTGTTAATGTGCTTGCTCAACATTCATTAAGTTTATCTTATGTACGCGGACAATGTTATGATGGAGCAAGTAATATGCAAGGTGATATCAATGGTCTTAAAATGTTGATTAAGAAAGAAAGTAAATCGGCTCATTCTATTCATTGTTTTGCTCATCAACTTCAACTAACTCTTGTCGTGGTTTCAAAAAAATGCGTTCAAGTGGGAGAACTTGTGTTATTGGTTTCAAATATTTTGAATGTGTTGGGAGCTTCTTTTAAACGAATGGATGAATTACGACAATCTCAAAAAGATAATCTTCAAAATGCATTAGATATGGATGAAATAGAAACAGGTAGAGGTTTGAATCAAGAACTTGGTCTTATTAGAGCCGGTGATACTCGTTGGGATCTCACTACAAAGCATTTCAAAACTTTATACTTTTGTTTGACTCTATTATTGATGTACTTGATACACTTGTTGAAGATGCAAATACTTTAGATGAAAGAGCTAAAGCATCAGGATATCTTAGAAGTTTTCAAACTTATGAGGTTGCTTTCATGTTACATTTGATGAAAGATATTTTGGGAATCACTTATGATCTTAATATATCACTACAGAAAAGGGAACAAGATATTGCAAACGCCATGATACTTGTTGAAGTAGCCAAAAAAAGGCTTCAAAAACTAAGAGATGATGGATGGGAGCCACTTATCAATAAAATATCTATGTTTTGTATCAAACATGACATCTTGATACCCAATTTTGATGAGCCCTATTCTAACTCTGGAAGATCACGGCGTAAAATTGTTGATCATACTGTTTTACATCATTTTCATGTGGAAGTATTTTATAAGATTATTGATTGGCAACTTCAAGAACTTAATGATCGTTTCAATGAGGTGACGAGTGATTTGTTTCATGGAGTAGCTTGCTTGAATCCAGTTAATTCATTTTCTAGTTTTGACATCGAAAAAATAATGAGAATGGCTGAATTATATCCTGATGACTTTGATCTATTTAGTATGGGCGTCCTTCAGAATCACCTTGCCAATTACATTATCGATGTACGCGATACTGATAAAAGATTCTCCGATTTAGGTGGACTTGGTGAACTTTCAAGAAAATTGGTAGAGACAAAGAAAAACTTAACTTATCCACTTATATTTCGCTTAGTGAAATTTTCTTTGCTTTTGCCAGTTGCTACTGCAACCGTTGAAAGAGCTTTCTCGGCAATGAAGTAGATTAAAAATGAACTTGCGAAATCGAATGGATGCTGAGTTTTTAGACGGTTGTATAGTGCCTTATGTAGAAAAGAAAGTATTTCGTACTATTTCTAATGAGTCTATTATAAAAACGTTTCAGGATATGAAACCTCGTCGAGTACAATTGTAATAATATATTTAAATTATGTTTTCAATAGTAGTTTATTTTCTTTATGTTAGTTTTGAATTATACACTTGTAATTCTATTAAAATATTCCTATATTTAATTAAATATTGCTTAACTTGATTATTTGTTTTGATAATTTTAAAATCGTACATTTTTAAAAAAAAATTACTATTAAAAGTTTGGACACCCTTCATTAAATTCCTGGCTACGCCACTGCTGGCCAATAACTTTCTCTCCATAGGATCACATTATGCTGAAAATTGCCACTGTTCTGGATAGAAAATGAGCAATTGGTTCTCCATTTTTCATCATCAATGTTTCAAAGTCATGCCGAAGTGATTGCAATCTCACCATGATGACCTTTGAATCACCTTGAAACTCTTTCGGCAAAATGGATCAAGCGTGCTTTGATGTGATTGCTGCTACAATCCGTGAAAATAGGCTAGCATGGACAGCTTGCTAGATAAACACCAACGCCTTAGCATCTTTTTTTCTTGTTGTCTCACAATCTAGTTTCTTCGTCAGGATCTGCAAATCCTTTTTCTACCAGGTCCCAAAGATCTTGAGATTTCATACGAATACTCCAGAATTTGAGGTGTGTCTGTTGCAAGAACACAGACCAAGCGAGTGTTGAGCATGTTTTCTATGGGGGAGAGTGGGCTAGTGGTTTATGGAGAATTATTTGTGGGACTCTTGGAGTTTAGTGTAGTAACTCTACTTATAGACAACTCTTGTTCAACATATGGAAGAATAAAAGACCAGATCCTATCAAGGCTCTAATCAACCGATGTCTTCCTATTTTTACTTCTTGGGAGATACAAAGAGAGCGAGGTGTGCATGTAAATATGGAATGGAAAGATTTTCTTTTAATAGAGCCATGACCTCAATTGCATTCAACATCAATCAAACTCTCTTATCTTAAATCAAACAGCTGAAAATTGACTTGGAATGGGTTGATATCCTCTATTTATTAAGCTATAATTTTCAAGTCATAAAAAGAATTTGGGTAAGATGGAATATGCCTACAAATTCCTCTGTTAAAATCAACTCGGATAAAAAGCCGGATGAGAATCCTCTCAAATCCTCGAATGAGAACTTCCCTTAAGAAATGAATGAATCTAGGGAAGAAGTCGCAAGACGGGAGTTCTAAGAATGAAAAATGTGGTGGAGGAGGTATTTGTTGGCAGTTAGGTTTATGGAGTATCGTTTAGTTGTTACATTTGTTTAGGAGTCGAATAAGTTGTTTCTTAGTCTTTAGGAATTAGGAATAGTGGAGTCAGTTTTTAGCTTCAGATTTTCTAGGAGATTAAACGTGTTGTTTCGTTTATAAGTTTTCATCTATTTAACACTCTTGTAATAGACTGTTTTGCTAAGCATCAATATAGAGAAAATTTCCACACTTGCGAGTCTTTTCTTTTCATCTTTGCTGTAGTTAATTTTCTATCATTTGGTATTCGAGCCAGAAAGTCTTTTTTTCTTTTTTTGGAGTACTATCTCAGCAGCAAAAGATGGCTTCTGAAATTTTTGTTTATCCCTCTATTCCACACTTCGATGGTCATTACGACTATTGGAGCATGTTGATAGAGAACTTCCTTAGGTCCAAAGAGTTTTGACCAGTTGTCAGTATTGGCGTGCAAGAGCCAACAACTGGTACTACCTCATCGGAAACACTAAAGGCAGAGTAGGATAGTCTAAGGTTAAAGGATCTCAAAGTGAATAATTACCTGTTTCAGGCTATTGATCGCTCAATACTGAAACCATTCTTTTCAAGGATACTTCCAAATAAGTATGGGATTCCATAAAGAAGAAGTATCAAGGAACAACGAAGGCAAAACGAGTGAAGCTTCAAGCACTCCGTGGTGAGTTTGAGACTCTACGTATACAAGGTGGTGAGTCGGTAACAAATTATTTCTTTAGGACGTTGGCTATCGCAAACAAAATGTGAATTCATGGTGAAAGACTGGAGGATGTTACCATTATTGAGAAAATATTTCGCTCAATGACAACAAAGTTCAACTATATTGTTTGCTCCATTGAAGAATCCAAAGATATTGATACTCTTTCTCTTGACGAGCTGCATGGTTCTTTGTTGGTTTATGAACAGAAAATAAACCAACAGGACAAGGATGAAGCAGGATTGAAGATAGCAACGTCTTCAAAAGGAACAGATCAGGTGAAAGCCAAATGTAAAGGAAAAAATTCACACCATAAAAAAAAAAAAGTAGTTCTGGAGATTCTCTAGAAAAGGAAAAGAGAGAAGATAAGTCTCAAGTTGAATGCTATCGATGCCACCGATTCGGACATTATCGATCTGAGTGTCGTACCAATTTAAATAGGAATCGTGGCAGCAGATCTAACTTTGCAGAGACAAAGGAAGATGGGGAAACCAAGGAAGAAGAAGAGGAAGTTTCACTTTTGATGGCATATACTGCTAACAAGAAATTTTCCACTCATTTATGGTACCTTGATACCAGTTGTAGTAATCACATGTGTGGGCAAAAAGAGGCATTCTCAGAGTTGGATGAAAGTTTTCAAGACACTGTGAGATTTGGAGATAATTCAATGGTCTCTGCCATGGGTAAAGGGAAGGTACAAGTCTCAACCAAAAACAACTCATTTCATACCATAGGTGAGGTGTTTTATGTCCCTGCATTGAAGTCAAATTTATTGAGTGCTGGACAGCTTCAAGAAAAGAGATATGACTTAATATCAAAGGTGGAGTTTGTAAGATACGATATCCTCGTTTGGGGTTACTCGCTCAGATTAGCATGTCGTCAAATCGATTATTTCCTTTATATCTTCACAACTCCATAAAATCTTATCTTTCTGCAGGCATTTTCGTTATGGGCATTTAAATTTTGCGAGCTTGAAGTTCTTAAAGGAAAAAAATAGGTGTTGGGTCTTCCAAAGCTTGAATCTCCAAAGGAAGTATGTGAAGAGTGTGCTGTTAGCAAGCAACACCGTGTACCATTTTCAAAATGCAATTCTTGGAGGGCAAATGATATGTTGGAATTGGTGCACTCAGATATTTGTGGTCCAATAAGTCCCACATCGAATGGAGGTAAACACTATTTCATTAGCTTAATTGATGATTACAACAGAAATACATATGTCTGTTTCTTAAAAGAAAAATCTGAAGCACTTGAAACTTTTAAGAAGTTTAAAGTGCTTGCTGAAAATGAAGTTGGTTATCAAGTTAAATGCTTGCGGAGCGATCGGGGTGGTGAATACAACTCACTAGAATTTACAAAAAATTATGAGAAACATGGAAATAAGAGGCAACTTACCGCAGCCTACACACCTCAACAAAATGGTGTGTGTGAAAGAAAAAATGGCACAATTCTTGATATAGTGCGAAGTCTTTTAAAAAGAAGCGGCTTACCAAAAGATTTTTGGGCTGAGGTAGTTCGTTGGAACATTCACATATTGAATAGAGGTCCTATCAGCTCTATTCGAATATGACACCTCATGAAGCTTGGAGCGGGCGTAAACCAAATGTTGAGTATTTTCGAATTTTCGGGTGTATAACATATGCACACATTCCAGATGCAGCGAGGAAGAAGTTGGATGATAAAGGTCAGAAGTGCATTTTCCTTGGTATTAGTGACAAATCAAAATCTTATCGCTTGTTCAATCCTATTGCCAAGAAAATAGTTGTTAGCCGAGATGTTACTTTTGATGAAGAAGCACTCTGGAATTGGAGCGATAATTGTTCATTTCAATATATTCCAATTTCTGTTAAAGAAGAAGAGGAACCATAACAACCTTTGGAGACCAGTTCACAAGCAAGTCCAATTGTACAGGATGCTGAAGGTGTTGAACATGAATCAGGTGATTCTCAGTTCAATAATGAACGTCCACAACAAAATAGAGGTGCACCAAGATGGTTGGAAAATTATAAGGTATATAAGACTAAGAAATCTGGAAATACAGTAAGTCATTTTTCTTTATTTTCATATTGTGATCCTATATCTTTTGCCGATGCTGTTAAAGACCTGAAGTGGCAACAAGCCATGGATGAGGAGATTAGATCAATTGAAAAAAATGATACTTGGGAGTTGACAAACCTTCCAGAAAATCAGAAAGTCATTGGTGTCAAATGGGTTTACAAAACAAAGTTGAAGGAAAACGGAGAGGTCGACAAGTTCAAAGCTCGCTTAGTAGCAAAAGGTTACAAGCAAGAATATGGTGTTGACTATGTAAAAGTGTTTGCTCCCGTTGCTCGTTTAGATACCATCAGATTGCTGATTGCTTTGGCTGCTCAAAATGCTTGAAAAATCTTTCAATTAGACGTGAAATCTGCCTTCTTACATGGTGAGCTGCAAGAACATGTATTTATTGAACAACCTCCTGGCTATGTGAAATCTGGTGTTGAAAATAAAGTGTTTAGATTGAAAAATGCTTTATATTGACTAAAACAAGCTCTAAGAGCTAGGTATAGTCGCATAGATACTTATTTTTCAAAGGAGAGATTTCGAAAGTGTCCATATGAATATACTCTTTATATAAAAAGGAAGTGTGCAGGGGTTTTAATGGTGTGTTTATATGTGGATGACTTAATGTATACCGAAAGTGATGTGTCTATGAAAATTTCGAACGATTTAAAGTATTAGTTTTATAAAAATTTCAAAAAAAATAAAAATAAAATAAAATAAAAAAATAAATATAGTTTGCAAGTCATTTTAAATAGTTTCGTCACTTTGTAAATGATATATATGTTTTATATAATTATGTGTATAATTAATGTATTTTATGAACATTCAAAAATCATCTCAAAGAGATTTTTTATTTTAGATATTTTATTAGTGATGGTTGTAATTTTGAATTAATGAATCTTATGAAATTCAAAATA